TGCCTTACACAGGAAGCGGCACAGGTCCTAATCCAGGCACTTGTCATCTCCCGTCTGGATTACTGCAACTCGCTGTTGGCTGGCCTCCCTGCCTGTGCCATTAAACCCCTACAACTCATCCAGAATGCCGCAGCCCGTCTGGTGTTCAACCTTCCCAAGTTCTCTCACGTCACCCCCCTCCTCCGCACACTCCACTGGCTTCCAGTTGAAGCTCGCATCCGTTACAAGACCATGGTGCTTGCCTATGGAGCAGTGAGGGGAACGGCACCTCTGTACCTTCGGGCTCTGATCAGTCCCTACACCCAAACGAGGGCATTGCGTTCATCCACCTCTGGCCTGCTGGCTCCCCTTCCTCTGCGGAAGCATAGTTCCCGCTCAGCCCAGTCAAAACTGTTCGCTGCTCTGGCACCCCAATGGTGGAACAAGCTCCCTCACGACGCCAGGACAGCGGAGTCACTCACCACCTTCCGGAGACATTTGAAACCCCACCTCTTTAAGGAATACCTGGGATAGGATAAAGTAATCCTTCTACCCCCCCCCCAAAAAAAATTGTAAAGTGGTTATCCCACTGGCTATAGGGTGAATGCACCAATTTGTGAGTCGCTCTGGATAAGAGCGTCTGCTAAATGACGTAAATGTGCCCTTGAGCAAGGCACTTAACCCTAATTGCTCCTGTAAGTCGCTCTGGATAAGAGCGTCTGCTAAATGACTAAAATGTAAAAATGTAAACAAATACAGCATTAGGTTAAACTTGACAGGATGATGACTTTATAAAACAGCTACTAAAATGCAGTGTTGGGGTCAATTCCATTTTAATTCCAGTCAATTCAGAAAGTAAACCAAATTCCAATAAAATAAGATTTATTGAAAAGTATTGAAGAGAATTGGAATTTCAGTGTTCATCCTGAATTGACTGTAATTTAAATGGAATTGCCCCCAACCCTGCTACAATGATCCCTATCAATTTTCACTCTGACATTTGAGAGAATGTGTATGAGGAGTGAGAGGTTTGTAGAACAGATGTGTTTGAATGGCAAAACAGCATTATTATCATCATCTCTCTGAGGTACAAAACGAGCCAGGTTAGTTCCACAACTTATAGAGTAGGAGAGAAAGCAGGCCTCTTCTGTCAGTAGTCAAGGAGCGACGTGTTGCCAGGGGAGACTGTTGCTGGGATATGACTCAGCGTTTTGCCCATCTCTCAGTGATATGATCACACCTCCTGTAAGGCATAGGCCCCACTGCCAACACTACAGGTTGACTTGACACACCTCCAAACAAAATAAAAGCAAATTTTCTATACTACTATTTTTCAATGCTTATTTATACCTCCCCTACTAATAGCACCTATTACGTTGATCATCCCCAAACCTACCTACTGTAATAATCGAGGGTATAGCCTTATAATGCAATACTGTTCAATTGCAAGTTGTGAGAAACCTAAAACAAAAACGTTTTCCAAGCTCTCTAAGCTTGCATTATGCTGCGTATTTTAGGAATCAGACCATAATGGTGAAGCACCCTCCTCAAACAGTGTTGTCTATCCCCATTCCCCAAGCAGAACGTTCAAAAGGAAGGCCTGGTACATCTGAAGAAAAAGAGGAAGTGCTTACTTTGAGAGCTGATCCAGCAAAAAAGATGTAGAAATATACCAGACCATCTATAAGCAACAGGGCTTGAACTTGTGTTGTGACACTGTAGAAGTGAGAGTACAAAACTGATGATTCTTCAATAACATGTCAGCACTGTCATAGATGGAACACCGAAAATGGACGTGAATATAGTATCTTAAATACTATGAATGCCGCCCTGCACCTAAATAATATAAAGAGTACCAGCAGGCACCTATTTCTGTCCACTTCAAGCACTGTGGACACCAACCGATGCTCTGGACAAGAGCTCCAGAAGGACTCAGGCTAACTTAATCATACAGCACTGGTGAAAAGACAAGTGTGGTTCCTGAGTTAATTAAGCAATGAACATCCCATCATGCTAAGGGTCATGTATAAAAATGCTGGGCAGGCCATTATTTTGGCTACCATGGCTATGCTCCCGTAGGATGACAATGCCCCCATCCACAGGGCACTAGTGGTCACGGAATGGTTTGATGAGCATTAAAACGATGTAAACCATATGCCATGGCCGTCTCAGTCACCAATTGAACACTTACGGGAGATTCTGGAGCGGCGCCTGAGACAGCGTTTTCCACCACCAACAAATCACCAAATGATGGAATTTATTGTGGAAGAATGGTGTCGCATCCCTCCAATTGTTCCAGACACTTGTAGAATCTATGCCAAAGTGCATTGAAGCTGTTCTGGCTCATGGTGGCCCTATGCCCCATTAAGACGCTTTATGTTGGTGTTTCCTTTATTTTGGCAGTTACCTGTAGCTGCATGGGGCAAATGAATATGAGCAGAAACTAGAGAAAGACATCGACTTTCCTAAAAACGCAAATGTTCACCCAAAGTAATTGTGGGTGAGGCCTGAGGTTCTTTCCTGTTGCTCACATGCAGAGGCCAACATATGCCCCATACTCACCCTAGCATCATACTTCGCAGTATGTAAAACACAGCTCCATTCATTTAGTTATGGTATGGTAATAATCACGTGATACATAGGACTATATATGGGTGTATGTATGGAAGGAAAAATAAATACCACTATGCAATACCGCCATATAGATTTATGCCATAAGATCTTCATGCAATACAAACTATGTATCTCCGTTTTACTGTGTAAGCTACCTTGCCACTAAATAAGCATGAAAATGCAAAGTTCCACTGCAACTACAGTATCTGTCATCACGCGCCTTTCTGATGTATCATGCCATGGGGGTGCTATGATTTTTTTTGTAGCTAGTTCAGTAGGGTTTCTGGATGATACAACGAATGTTTGTTGTAGTTTACAATGACATCATCCTAAATTTAAAATAAAAGATACAGCCAGCTAGTTAGAACCACAAATAAGTACGATTTATCTGTGAATAACTGTCTTGTAGTATGATATAAAAACCTACTCGAATTTTGCTAGCTAATTACCAAGGTAGTCAACAAGATACGACTGGCAGGGGCTCGAGCGCTCCTTTATAACATCAGTTGGGGGGCCTGATTCGATTTTGATGTAACTCCACCATTTGGCAGGGTGAAATTGACAACGCGATTTCTTATTATATGCATAACTGACTTGTCAAATGTATCTAAGTATGCATCATATGCTGAATATGTGGTGAAAATGATTTACTGCATAATACATGGAGAGATGAGCAAACTGTATTCAGTTAAAATTGCCTACGGGTAGTTACGATGGAGTGTAAAATATAACCTCATCACACCGCGGTGTGCACCAGCAACATACCTTACCTTTTCAATCCCTATTCCACCCGGGACAGATCGAATCATCCTTTTCTTGAGTAGAAACTGAAGAGTTTTTACTAAAATATATTTCACATTCTCCCCATGTTTTTTTCTGTCCCGTTCCTGTGGGTCGTCACTAGTTATCACATACAATAAAGTAATAAACCCCGCCCATTTCTACAATTTCGCTTCTTAGGACATTTGATTTTAAACCTAACCTTAACCACACTGCTAACCTTATAACTAACCCTAACGTTAAATTAAGACCAAAGGTAAATGTTTGTTTTCATGAATTTTTACGACTTTGTGGCTGTGCTGTCTAGTGGGGGTCAAAACCCTGTATCAGTGACGTTAACTTCCGGTTTCTTGATCGCCCACTTCAACCCATTCTTTTTATTTTTCATCAAGTACATTGGATTGGGAATAGTCAGAGTGCAACGTTATATATTTGATGTCAAACAAGATCATATGCCACATTTCTTGCAGCAAAGGATTTTTGCCCTACATAATAAAGGTATTATTAAACAGATATTATTTCATCCATGTCCTCATTTAATCCATCGTAACACACACATACAGTGCTTTATTGGAAACCCCCATGCATTTGGTTAGAGAGGAATATCTTCTGGTCCTCCTGGGCTTGGTCATGGCTAACATTGGATTGTGGCTAGAAAATCTAGTTTCTCTTATCAAAAAGCCAGAAAGTCGATCACAGTCTAAAAAAAATTGATACAGCATCGATAATAAATTACTACTGATTGTGGTATAAAAAAAAAACAGTGTAGAAGCCTCATACTAATAGCACCATCTACTAGTTGTATACAGCATAGCAACATTGACATCAGTAACATGGTAAATCTGCTCTTCCAGTGTTTTTTCCGGAACATGCCTACGTCCCAATTCTCCACCCTTTTCCCTGAAATGTGCATTTACCCACATGGATTAAAAATGATTGGATTGGTGTAATAGCCACATGCATAAATCTATGTGGGGGAGTGCACAAGTGCACACTTCCAAGAAAAAGTGTGGAGAATTGGGACACAAACTTTGACTCTCAGTCCTTTCCACCCAAGCTGTAGTAGAAGCTGGTGTCTCTGCGATGTTGCTGCACAGGCATGTTTCTTTGTGTGTCCCTGAGCTTCTCCAAGTCGATCTCCACCAGAGCCATGCCTGTGTTCTCCCCTCCACAGTCCCCCATCACCACCCCCCAGGGGTCCACAGCCAGGGCGTGGCCGTACGATGAACGTTTCTCGTGGTGACTGCCCACTTGGGCCGCGGCAAGGACAAAGCACTGGGTCTCAATGGCTCTGGCTCGAAGCAACACCTGTGGTTAGAAGAGCAGCATGTTTTCTATTGGTCCACATTCTTCAACACTGGTCCTGAAGAGTAGAATCCACAGGGGTTGCAGGCTTTTGTTCTAGCCCAGTACTAAGGACCCTGAATCAACTAATGAAGTTTATGATTTGAATCAGGCGTGTAAGTACTGGACTGGAACAAAAGCCTGCATACCCTGTGGGTCCCCAGGACCAGGTTTGAACAACACTGTTATAACTTGTATTAAAACATAGAAATAGCAGTGCTAGAAATAGTAGCTAGTATAAATTATAGTACAACATAGAGGAAGATGTGTGTTTCTGCAACAATTTATCCCACCTCCCAATGGGCAGCTCCTGTGGCCACAGTGAACGCTGACGGGTAGGTCAGAATCTCCGCCCCCTGTCGCAGCAGACTCAATGACAGCTCAGGGAACCTCAGGTCATAACAGATACCCAGTCCCACCTGGAACACAATACAGTGACAGAACGCTGGTGAATAATGCTGGGGTGGTAGATCATAGAATCTGGTGTAAAAAGATGGAGGTTAGTTGCAATAACAATTCAATGAGAGCTAGATTGGTGGAATCATAGAATGACCTTGCCAATGGGAGTTTGGACTGGAGGAATGAGGCTGGATCCAGGTATGGTGAAGGCACTCTCTTTTAAGGACACACCTCTTCCTGGCAGCTCCACATCAAACAAGTGGGACTTCCTGTATACGGACACTATATCACCTGTAGGGTTAAGAGAAAGTGTCAGCACTTCAGTATTTGTGTGTGTGTGTATGTGTGTGTGTGTGTGTTTGTATGTTAATACCCTTTTCATTGATGATGATGTGGCTGTTGTAGATTCGCCTGTCCATCTCCCAGTCATGCCCTCTCTCATGAAACCCTCCAAGAGAGAGCCACACGCTCAGCTTCCTAAGAAAGGACAGATGAGGATTAACTGCAAAAGCACTAATCAATAACAAAACAAGTGCGATTAAGTCTCCCCATTCCAGAATTATTATTAGACTAGGATGTAATAGAAATGAATAGAATAGACAACCACACTCTGTGGCTAGTACTAGTAGTACTCACTTGGCCAGCAGGGTGTAGCGTGAGATCACGTCTCCCGTTAGCCTCTCAGACATATTCAGGGTCTCCTCTCGACTAGAGCCGATGTAGTCAAACCCCTCAGGTAGGAAAACCATGCTGGCTCCACCCTCTTTTGCCGCCTGCACCAATCGCTTGCAGGCGGTGAAGTTGGCCTCCTTGTCAGGGGTTGCGGTCACCTGGCACACCGCTGCCACTGGATGAGGCGATGATGACATCCTGGAAAGAAAGACACACTTGAGTTTAGATGACGTCAAGCATGTAAAGGGTTAATGTTAGTGTAACAAGGGGTCAAAAATATGTGACTAGTTATAATAGCTGAACATTACTAATTGACCTACATTTACAAGTCAGTGACACTAGTACTGTAAACCTTGACAGAAAATGAATTATTGAATGAAAACAGAGGCATGAAGTAGTTTCATCTTAGAATTACCAATTCAAAAGGGATCTTGGGCTATGGTAACAGATGCATGCATTGTAAACAACTTTCAGTTGTCAGTTAAAAGATTGACCGTGTAATTACCTGTGTTGCACCCCAATGTAGTTCGAGCCCCAAGACGAATGACAGTCCAGTAAATGTTTCACCGGAGTTCTTCTCAAACTGCACCTCACCACGAGCATTGGCTTGACGCAAGTGTCAAACCAAAGGTGTCTGTACCCGACTGAGCAACACCAGAGAAGTCTCTTCTTTGCTTGTGCTGTACTTTGGACTCTGTTTTAATTTCAAGTTAATGCAAAATCCAGTCAGTAATGTATGAAAACATCAACAATGTAACTACCTACTGTACTGCATGCGTTGTGTTTGCGGCGCCAAATTACACGACTACGACACTAGCTAGTACGACATTGTTCGTGTGTTGTGTTGATTACGGTTTTCCTAACAGGCAATCACACGAGACAGCTCAAGATGGTACGTTTTGGGCCCTCAGCCCACTCCACTAGCGACACCCTTCCAAGATGGCAGCCAACAGCAGCACGGTTAGCAAACCCAGCAACAATACCGGGGGTAAACAATCAGGGCCATCGGCCGAGCAGGTATCCTCACTCTCCTTTAAATCCTTCAGTGTCTTAATATTCATGTTTTGTTAGCAAATGCTTTTTAATAGTTGCGGACTTTGAGATACAAACCCGGACTTGCCAGTCACGCATCTAGCTAGCTAGCTCCCTTACCATCGTCTGCTTCTTACTAGTGTGTTCCTCAAAACTGATATTTTATGATTAAGAGGCCAAGTCTGGTATCAGTCGTATTCACAACATAACCTCATTGAGTTTATAATAATCTTAGCTAACTGCAATCTATCAGCCTGACTAGGTTTCTATCAGTACAGTATTCAGTACTGTTGTTCGTGCTACTAGTGCGTCGCTCTCCCTTGCCAACCAGTGGCAAACACAACCGCATTAGTAATACAGCCAGTTTGACAAATCACAAATAAACGACTATTGTATTTACTTATAGCTAATCAATAAATGGTCTAATGATATTTCCTTTTCCAGGTAGGCCTATATAACGAGGCTTTTTGCAACTTTGTTCAGTCTAATGTAAGTTCAGAAATCTGTGTGTATTGTGGCTGCCTGAGTTGGTAGAGCATGGCGCTTGCAACGCTAGGATCATGGGTTCGATTCCCACTAGGGACCCGGATACGAAAATGTATGCATGCACTACTGTAAGAGAGCTTTGACACTGACTAAACTTGTTGCCCACGCAGGCCTTCCGCAGGTCACCAGATTTAAGTAACTTTGTATAAAAGGGTTTGTTAAATGGCACATATTATAATGAGTGAATGTGATGTATTTGGTGTGTTCAAAAGGTTGTGGCTGCATTCCAGAGGATGCGCTCAGAGCAGCGCAGCATGGCCTCCAAGGCTGCAGAGCTGGAGATGGAGATCAACGAGCACAGGTAACTACAGTACTATTTCACTCACTGTTCACCTCAGTGGACTTAACTGTGGACTTGGCCACAGAGAGGAGTAATCATTGTTCAGTCTGTAAGGTGTTAAAGATGAGATGTTCGGACACTAGGGGGTGAATCAAGTCTTCCCAGGATTCCTAATTTCCTCTCCTCGCCTCCCTCTCAAAACGCATTGGAGGAAAAGGTCAGAGGGGAGGAGCTTCATGTCTTAATATTACATTCCTCTCACAACTTCCCTCTTAGCCTAGTCATCGAGACCCTAAAAGATGTGGACCCAACCAGGAAGTGCTTCCGACTGGTGGGCGGGGTGCTAGTAGAGAGGACGGTTAAGGAAGTCTTACCAGCTCTGGGAAGCAATAAAGAACAGGTAAGCTGCTTTGCTTGCTCTTTGGGGTATAATCCGAGGTTGCTGTAAAGCACTTTGTAACGACTGCTGTTGTAAAAAGGGCTGTCTGAAATAAGATTGATGGTAAGATACCATTTAATATATCAACTGTCAATATGTACATAATATGTACATGATGTGGTGGCCTATGGGCATAGTCCAACTGGGGAAGCAAACCTCTAACCTTCTGGGTCCAAAGCACTCCAGCTAAACAACAGTACAAACACACTAGCCACATAACGTTCCCAAGAGGGTCAAATCGCTTGGGAGTGTTTTTAATAGAGGAAACGCACTAGAGCAACTGACGGCCGAGTGTACTTTAAAACAGTAGGTGGCCGTCCTGTCGCCTCCGACAAGAATGCCGGCCATTATTTCATTTTTATATCCTGACGATTCTACATGTTAAATCACTACCGTTCGTCGACACCCAGCACATAATCTACTGCACACGACCGACGTTAATTATGGTGCGTCTTCTCTTTAACATACACTACCGGCCAAAAGTTTTAGAACACCTACTCATTCAAGGGTTTTTCTTTCTTTTTACTATTTTCTACATTGTAGAATAATAGTGAAGACATCAAAACTATGAAATATCACATATGGAATCATGTAGTAACCAAAAAAGTGTTAAACAAATAAAAATATATTTTATATTTAAGATTCTTCAAAGTAACCACCCTTGGCCTTGATGACAGCTTTGCACACTCTTGGCATTCTCTCAACCAGCTTCACCTGTAATGCTTTTCCAACAGTCTTGAAGGAGTTCCCACATATGCTGAGCACTTGTTGGCTGCTTTTCCTTCACTCTGCCGTCCGACTCATCCCAAACCATCTCAATTTGGTTGAGGTCAGGGGATTGTGGAGGCCAGGTCATCTGATGCAGCACTCCATCACTCTCCGTCTTGGTAAAATAGCCCTTACACAGCCTGGAGGTGTGTTCGGCCATTGTCCTGTTGAAAAACAAATGATAGTCCCACTAAGCCCAAACCAGATGGGATGGCATATCGCTGCAGAATGCTGTGGTAGCCATGCTGGTTACGTGTGCCTTGAATTCTAAATAAATCACAGACAGTGTCACCAGCAAAGCACCCCCACACCATAACACCACCTCCTCCATGCTTTAAGGTGGGAAATACACATGCAGAGATCATCTGTTCACACACATCACGTCTCACAAAGACACAGCGGTTAGAACCAAAAATCTCAAATTTGGACTCCAGACCAAAGGACACATTTCCACCGGTCTAAAGTCCATTGCTCGTGTTTCTTGGCCCAAGCAAGTCTCTTCTTCTTATTGGTGTCCTTTAGTAGTGGTTTCTTTGCAGCAATTCGACCATGAAGGCCTGATTCACACAGTCTCCTCTGAACAGTTGATGTTGAGATGTCTGTTACTTGAACTCTGTGAAGCATTTATTTGGGCTGCAATTTCTGAGGCTGGTAACTCTAATTAACTTATCCTCTGCAGCAGAGGTAACTCACAGGTCCTCCATTTCTGTGGCGGTCCTCATGAGAGCCAGTTTCATCATAGCGCTTGATGGTTTTTGCGACTGCACTTGAAGAAACTTTCAAAGTTCTTGAAATGTTCCGTATTGACTGACCTTCATGTCTTAAAGTAATGATGGACTGTCGTTTCTCTTTGCTTATTTGAGCTGTTCTTGCCATAATATGGATTTGGTATTTTACCAAATAGGGCTATCTTCTGTATACCTTGTCACAACACAACTGATTGGCTCAAACACATTAAGAAGGAAAGAAATTCCACAAATTAACTTTTAAGAAGGCACACCTGTTAATTGAAATGGATTCCAGGTGACTACCTCATGAAGCTGGTTGAGAGAATGCCAAGAGTGTGCAAAGCTGTCATCAAGGCAAAGGGTGGCTATTTGAAGAATCTCAAATATAAAATTTGTTTAACACTTTTTTGGTTACTACATGATTCCATATGTGTTTTTTAATAGTTTTGATGTAGTTACAATGTAGAAAATAGTAAAAATAAAGAAAAAACCGTTGAATGAGTAGGTGTTCTAATACTTTTGACCGGTAGTGTACATAACTACCAAGGCTATAGGTTGTTGCAATATTATCTTGTAAAACTAAATCACTGCTGATCATGCATCATGATTAACATTCTGCTATCCCCTCTCTTTTCCTTACAGATATCAAAGATTGTAGAGTCCCTCAACACACAGATGCAGATAAAAGGTCGGGAGCTCACGGAGTACCGGGAAAAATACAACATCCGATTGGTGGGAGAAGGAGAGGAAGGACAGGGCAAATCGGCAGCATCCTCCAATGCGGGCGAAGGGGGCCGTTCTAAAGGCGGCGCCGGCGTTCTAGTTTCGTAGCTTTGTGTGTAGAGACTTTAGTACGATAGGAAATTGTGCAGAATGCCATCGAGCATCGAGTCAGCACAGATCCTGGAAGGCATTTCAAGGGCAGAGTTTGACGTGTGTCTTGCATGAAGGAAATTGTATAATAAACCAATGTCACAATGGCCAGATTATCCAGAACATTCAATTCAGATCAGTGATCCCTTTTCACCTATTGTTCAACAAAACTTAGCCAACATTTCACTTACACTCTGGTTTACTTACAAGCCTTTCGCCTTTTACTCAAGACAGTGTTTCATCAAAATATTATTGGATGATTGTTGTAAAAGACAACATGCCTTCTTGATGACCATATATTGTCTTAGTCACAATGATTTGATGTTTATTTATACTCTATTGTCAGTCATATTTCAATGTACATTATGATCCTGTTGTTGGTGGCTCTGTATTTGAGAGGTTTGTCTCTGGCATGCTGTAAAATAATGCTTGAAAAAGGAATGACAATCTGATTGGGAAAACACAATTCCCAAACAACACACTGTATCATTTCAATCTTTCTTAAAGGTGCACCATGCAGAAATGGCTCCGCCATTTCCTCATTACAAAAATTATAGTAGTTCGCCTAATTTCAGTTTGTGACAAAACAAGCAAGTGTAGTGTAGAGAATCATTGTACCATCTAAACCGCTGTGAAATATATTTTTCCATAACCAAAAATATTGTATTTCCAGTTGTTGGATGCTGTTGTATAAAACCTAAAGTAAAAGACACAAAAATCAAACCTTAAGAACAGGAAGCATAGAAATAGTGCACATAGAACAGATCTACAGCTTCTTAGACTTGCGTTCAACGATAATGACAGATCTGTAACACACATTTATATGTGAATTTGGTCAGTCGCCCAGAAAGTTACATATTGCAGCTTAAAGTGTTGAGGGAAAAAACACTGTGCCCAGAGCATTTGTTGTAGATGGATAACATAAAATGTACGTCCCAAACGGCAGTCTATTCCCTATATAGCGCACTACTTTTGCCCAGGGTGCCATTTCAGACACTTCCAGTCTCTGACAGAGCAAATTCAGTGCTATAGTCTTAAGTGCCCCCAAAGTATCTGAAGCACACTGCCCTAGCCTACATTATCTATCACCATGTAGTTGTGTGGATAAAATTAGTTTTTTGTGTGAATGTTTATGAATATTAAAAAAAACAATGCAAAACATGTTTTCTGATGTCTGCTGCTTTTCGCCTGTATTTGCATAATATACAGATATAAGTAATATATTATACACACAGTTTGCTGGTGGTCACTGTTTCAGGCATCTTTAGCTGGCCGCCAGCAGTCTCGTACTACTTACTGTTGGGCCCCTTTCATGGGCAAATACCTGGAAGACATCTGCCGATACACTGGTCTCAGAACAGAGAACCTACCAGCTGTCATGAACAGAGCTATGGCATGCCATCCCACCCCCCTGCGCAAGTAAACTATACAGTACTTGTTAGAGAGGTACGTTAACGAGGTCTCTAATGCAAGATACCGGTTCATACAGTACCCATAAAATAGCACACTATATATAGTTCATAACTTTCTTTGGCTTTGGGCAATGAATAAGGTTTGGATTTTGTGTCCATGGTAGGTGATGGAACTACACAGGTCTTGGTACTGTGTCTATAAGCGGTCATTCATACATCTATCCCAATTTAGTTAAATAGTTTAGCTATACTTATTCGCAACATATGTTTTAATGTAACGTTAGAATAGTTTCATAAGCGGCAAAGGCACTGGTGGTTTTGACCAAGATCGTCTTCATTTTCTACAAACACGGAGAAGGATAATTTGCCAGATAGTGTTCATTCAAGTACTGTTCAAACTAGCTAGTTACGTTACACCACTACTATTCGTGAGACGCGAAAATAATTGTCGACGAGGATGGGATTCGAACCCACGCGTGCAGAGCACAATGGATTAGCAGTCCATCGCCTTAACCACTCGGCCACCTCGTCCTCTGAGTCATCACATTGATCGAAAATACAACTTATCTCAAATGCATGGCAAACTAGCGCTTTAAAAATAATGTATTTTACATACCTGGCTGATGCGGTTGAAACCGTACTGCCTGAAGTTCTCGTCGTACAAGGGCACGGTGCGGGGCCCGATGTAGAAGGGCTCCCAGGGGTCCACCCAGGATAACATATGTAAATGTAAATAACGTAAATGTAAATAACGTATAGGCCACGTCCAGGGGCCCCAAACCCTGGCGGTGTCTGTTCACCCACTGAGAGTAGTTTGTGGGGGCCTGGCACTACGGGCACAGCTCCTCGTAGAAGGGCCTCAACTCGCCCACCTGGTACAGCTGCACCAGTTTATGTTATTCAAGAGACCATTTTCATAAAAGTGCTAGCTAGCCGCATAGCATATTTGAACGTGCAGCTGTTTGCTGCGAACACAATAAATGGTCCATTATGTCAAACTTGACATGCCCTTCTATTCTAGGGTTCGTGGTAATATGAAAAGCGCATAGACATGCGCCACAACATCACAGGCGCCCCTTCTCCAAATGCCCTAATGGGTTGTTGATGTTGCTGAAACGCTATGAGATTGACAGAACCGTATAGCATCAGATATGAAGGAGGTACATACAATGATTTCACGATCTAAAATGCGTGGTGTCAACGACACGAGATAGTCGAGCCCCCCACGTATCCAAAGTGCCAAATTAGCTAGCTAGCGCCGTGTAGCTAGCTAACTAGCAAGCAGTGGTAGATTTGATACCTTCCTGGGGCATATTGCTCAAGTATTTTTGACTTGTTGCATGTGGTGTACATGTAATGGTCGGGAATGCATTTCTCTAAGAAATGTTCGGTGTTCAAAGTGGTGCTCGGCGCTCTGGTGCTCGTGGCACTCTTACAAATGATCTATCTCTCCTTCCTATCGAAACTGCACGGTAAGCAGCAGCGCTACCGATACTCAGAGCTTTTCGGGAGCTCTGGCAAGAAAAATGCCCACCCGGAGATAAATTCACGGAAAGAGCGTCTCAGGTACTCTTTGTCCACAGGGGGTATCTTTGATGCCAGCGGGCAATACCGCGTGTACAAGAACTTGATCAAAAGCGATTTCTCTACCAATCAGAAGCCAGGAGCGGATGCGAGCTCTCACTTCTTGGCCTTAGCAACGCACACATCCATCAACAATTTGCATCACCTGAATTCTTTAGTGGAAAGGTGGCAAAACCCTCTCTCAGTGGCCATATTCGCTCACGGCCAAGATGTCAAGTTTGCCACAGCCCTGGTCTACGCCCTCAGCATCTTCTGCCCTCAAATCCAGGCCTTGGTGGACTTCCACTTGGTGTGCCACTCTGGGCAGATGGCCAGTTTCCCGGAGCAGGACCGGGAGCATTTCACCGGGCTTGAGGACTGTGCCGCTGTTTTCGCCAGGCTCGAGACGCACCGAGACAAATACCAGAACTACGCCATCGGTGGAAAAGGAAACGTCTCCTACCCGAATAATCTCCTTCGGAACGTTGCCCGTGGCGGCACGGAAGCCAACTACATCCTGGTCATCGACATCGACATGGCACCCAGTGCCGACCTCCACCAGCAGTTCCTGGCGCTGGTCATGAGACGTGAACCCGCCACGGACGAGGTCTTCGTACTGCCCGCCTTCGAGATCCGCCACGTACGCAAGATGCCCGCCACCAAGTCGGAGCTGGTGCAGCTGTACCAGGTGGGCGAGGTGAGGCCCTTCTACGAGGAGCTGTGCCCGCGGTGCCAGGCCCCTACAAACTACTCTCAGTGGGTGAACAGACACCGCCAGGGTTTGGGGCCCCTGGACGTGGCCTATACGTTATCCTGGGTGGACCCCTGGGAGCCCTTCTATATCGGGCCCCGCACCGTGCCCTTGTACGACGAGAACTTCAGGCAGTACGGCTTCAACCGCATCAGCCAGGTATGTATTGTATGGATATGGGTAGCCGGGTACTCTTAGAGTGCAGTGGAGAGGAGACGTGTGTGTATGGTTGCACACAGTTAGGGCTTCATTACATCAACTGACACAGTACCCTGCAGAAAACCTTGCACTGCAGTAAAATATACAGTGCCTTCGGAAAGTATTCAAACCCATTGACTTTTTCCACATTTTGTTACGTTATAGCCTCATTTTAAAATAGATTAAATATATAAAAATCCTCATCAATTTACACACAATACTCCATAATGACAAAGGGTTTTTAGAAATGTTTGCTAACAAAAACAAACAGAAATACCGTATTTACATAAGTATTCAGACCCTTTGCTATGAGTCTCGAAATTGAGCTCAGGTGCATCCTGTTTCCATTGATCGTCCTTGAGATGTTTCTACAACTTGATTGGAGTCCACCTGTGGTACATTCAATTGATTGGACATGATTTGGAAAGGCACACACCTGTCTATATAAGGTCCCACAGTTGACATTGCATGTCAGAACAAAAACCAAGCCATGAGGTCGAAGGAATTGTTCGTAGAGCTCCGAGACTGGATTGTGTTGAGGCACAGATCTGGGGAAGGGTAGCAAAAACATTCTGCAGCGTTTAAAGTTCCCAAAAACACAGTGGCCTCCATCATTCTTAAATGGAAGAATTTGGATTCTTCCTAGAGCTGGCCGCCCGTCCAAACTGAGCAATCGTGGGAGAAGGGCCTTGGTCAGGGAGGTGACCAAGATCCCAATGGTCACTCTGACAGAGCTCTAGAGTTCCTGTGTGGAGATGGGAGAACCTTCCCGAAGGATAACTATCTCTGCAGCACTCCACCAATCAGGCCTTTATAGTAGAGTGGCCAGACAGAAGCCACTCCTCCGTAAAAGGCACATGACAGCCCGCTTGGAGTTTGACAAAAGGCACCTAAAGACTCTCAGACCATGAGAAAAGATGATCTGGTCTGATGAAACCAAGATTGAACTCTTTGGCCTGAATGCCAAGCGTCACGTCTGGAGGAAACCTGCCACCATCCCTACGGTGAAGCATGGTGGTGTCAGCATCATGCTGTGGGGATGTTTTTCAGCGGCAGGGACTGTGAGACTAGTCAGGATTGAGGCAAAGATGAACGGAGTAAAGTACAGAGATCTTAATGAAAACCTGCTCCAGAGCACTCAGGACCTCAGACTGGGGCGAAGTTTCACCTTCCAACAGGACAACGACCCTAGCACACAGCCAAGACAACGCAGGAGTGGCTTCGGGACAAGGCACTGAATGTTCTTGAGTGGCCCAGCCAGATCCCGGACTTGAACCCGATCGAACATCTCTGGAGAGACCTGAAAATAGCTGTGCAGCAATGGTCTCCATCCAACCTGACAGAGCTTGAGAGGATCTGCAGAGAAGAATGGGAGAAACTCCCCAAATATAGGTGTGCTAAGCTTGTAGCGTCATACTCAAGAAGACTTGAGGCTGTAATCGCTGCCCAAGGTGCTTCAACAAAGTACTGAGTATATGTACAGTTGAAGTCGGAAGTTTACATACACCTTAGCCAAATACATTTAAACTCAGTTTTTCACAATTCCTGACATTTAATCCTAGTAAAACTTCCATGTCTTAGGTCAGTTAGGATCACCACTTTATTTTAAGAACGTGAAATGTCAGAATAATAGTAGAGAGAATGATTTATTTCAGCTTTTCTTTCTTTCATCACATTCCCAGTGGGTCAGAAGTTTACATACACTCAATTAGTATTTGGTAGCATTGCCTTTAAATTGTTTAATTTGGGTCAAACGTTTCGGGTAGCCTTCCACAAGCTTCCCACAATAAGTTGGGTGAATTTTGGCCCATTCCTCCTGACAGAGCTGGTGTAACTGAGTCAGGTTTGTAGGCCTCCTTGCTCGCACACGCTTTTTCATTCCTGCCCACAAATTCTCTATAGGATTGAGGTCAGGGCTTTGTGATGGCCACTCCAATACCTTGACTTTGTTGTCCTTAAGCCATTTTGCCACAACTTTGGAAGTATGCTTGGGGTCATTGTCCATTTGGAAGACCCATTTGCGACCAAGCTTTAACTTCCTGACTGTCTTGAAATGTTGCTTCAATATATCTACATAATTTTCCTTCCTCATGATGCCATCTATTTTGTGAAGTGCACCAGGCCCTCCTGCAGCAAAGCACCCCCACAGCATGATGCTGCCACCCCCGTGCTTCACGGTTGGGATGGTGTTCTTCGGCTTGCAAGTACTCCCTTTTTCCTCCAAACATAACGATGGTCATTATGGCCAAACAGTTCTATTTTTGTTTCATCAGACCAGAGGACATTTTCCAAAAAGTACGATCTTTGTCCCCATGTGCAGTTGCAAACCGTAGTCTGGCTTTTTTATGGCGGTTTTGGAGCAGTGGCTTCTTCCTTGCTGAGCGGCCTTTCAGGTTATGTCGATATAGGACTCGCTTTACTGTGGATATAGATACTTTGTACCTGTTTCCTCCAGCATCTTCACAAGGTCCTTTGCTGTTGTTCTGGGATTGATTTGCACTTTTCGCACCAAAGTACGTTCATCTCTAGGAGACAGAACGTGTCTCCTTCCTGAGCGGTATGATGGCTGCGTGGTCCCATGGTGTTTATACTTGCATACTATTGTTTGTACAGATGAACGTGGTACCTTCAGGCGTTTGGAAATTGCTCCCAAGGATGAACCAGACTTGTGGAGGTCTACACATTTTTTTCTGAGGTCTTAGCTGATTTCTTTTGATTTTCCCATGATGTCAAGCAAAAAGGCACTGAGTTTGAAGATAGGCCTTGAAATAAATCCACAAGTACACTTACAATTGACTCAAATGATGTCAATTAGCCTATCAGAAGCTTCTAAAGCCATGACATAATTTTCTGGAATTTTCCAAGCTGTTTAAAGGCACAGTCAACGTAGTGTATGTAAACTTCTGACCCACTGAAATTGTGATACATTGAATTATAAGTGAAATAATCTGTATGTAAACAATTGTTGGAAAAATTACTTGTGTCATGCACGAAGTAGATGTCCTAACCGACTTTAGTTTGTTAGCAAGAAATGTGTGGAGTGGTTGAAAAACAAGTTTAAATGACTCCAACCTAAGTGTATGTAAACTTCCGACTTCAACTGTAAATGTGTATGTAAATGTGATATTTCAGTTTTTTATTTTTAATAAATTAGCAAACATTTCTAAAAACCTGTTTTTGCTTTGTCATTATGGGGAATTGTGTGTAGATTGATGAGGGGGGGAAAATAATTTAATACATTTTAGAATAAGGCTGTAACCTAAGAAAATGTGGAAAAAGTCAAGGGGTCTGAATACTTTCCGAAGGCACTCTACATTATACACAAATAATATAAATACTTAACTTTTAGTTGAATTATCACCATTTCATGTTGTCCCCCCCCTTACCTCATTGTCCCCCTCTTCTTCTCCTCTTCCCTCCCCAGGCCTGTGAGCTCCATGTGGCGGGCTACAGGTTCTCCGTGCTGAACTCTGCCTTTGTGGTGCACAAAGGGTTCAAAGTTCAGGGTGAGTTCCACAGCAGGAAGGACGAGGAGAACCGAAGGAACCGCCTGCTCTTCCGCAGCTTCAAGGAGGGCCTGAAGACCAAGTACCCCTCCTCCCCTCGACGCTGCTGAGGAGACAATGTGAGAACACTGGTGCCTGATTGACACTATAGGGCAAAACTATGGGTTGGCCTGGTTACGCATCCACCATAGTTGCTGGAACTGTGCTAGGGAGGATATCCAAGCCAGAATAGTACAGTTTGGCCCTATAGTGGGATACAGCATTGGATCACTTCTCCCCTAAGTATGGCGCTAGAGGTTGATTTGGAGTTCAGCACTCCTATAAGTTCACAAGACTTCTGTCCAGCAAGAAATCAACAAATGACTCACTACACTACAACATAAACATGAACCAGTCTCTGCTCCCTCAATTTCTGCTCATTTGTCTGTCGTTCAACCACCAGAGAGACACCTGACTCCACTAGGGTTTCATCATCATCATCATCATCATCATCATCATCGTTACCTATGTATTTACAGTGAGGGTGGTCCTATCATTTCCAGTGGTTTCCAGTGCCCTCTTGAGACCTTCATCCAGCACAAGGAGAACAAAACATAGACACTTTTTACTTACAGAGCATTTGTGACAGAATATTTTGTAAATATGACCTTGTTCTATACAAGCTGGGCTGGGTTGACACTCCCATAGAGAGATGCAGTCTATGTAGCAGGAAAGAATGACAAGAGTGGTCTGGGTCTAACACTGTTACCAGTGTGTTAACTGGAAAAGGCTAGTTATGTAATACCTGCAGGTTTAACAAACACTGATAAATGTTTAGAGAGACTGTAAAAGCAATGGATATTATACATTTTCTTCGCTACTACTCACATACAGTATCTATTTAATTGAAATGCTCATTTATTTATAAAGGATTTGATTTTTATGGTTTGCGATAATTTGAAGTGTAAAGAGTTTTATGAACTTTGCTCCGTTCATCTTTTATGTTGTTTTCTTAAAGGTGATCAGCTCTTCAGGTCACGTACAGTATGTAGGCCCTAGTGGCCGTCCCAAATGGGGTGCCAATAGGGACCTAGCCATAGTCTTCATCCTGGATATTTTGCATTGTGAAAATATGGTACAGTATTACAATTTTCTGCATAGATGGCGACTGACTTGTTGGACCTGTGAAGGACTTACTGTAGCACAGATAAGTCCTGTACTCCAACCACTAATTCATATTGTTTTTAGTTATTTGGGAGTCAAATTTGAATTACATTTTGAAAGTTTACGTATTAGTGTGATATTTTTCAAATGTATTGCTCTCTCCCTGACCTGAGAATGACCTGAGAAGGGTTTAAGTTGTCCGAAACGTAAGTATCAATGCTTTGTTTGGATTCCTATTAAAATACACACAAAAAAACTACAACTTCATTCTTAAATTGCTTTTCATTAAATGTCCTGTTTGGGGTGGAAGTTAATTATTTAAAACAATCAAAATATTTCAATTGGCTATTGTGTGTAGTAGCAACACAAACCAGCAGAGGGCACTGGAGTAAAGGTTCTCAATGTTAAGAGGACTTGTCATGTAGGACTGCAGTTCTTATTCTGTTGAGTCTAAATCAAGTTCCTGAGTACTTCAATCCAGTAGATTTTCATGCTAACCATCCACTTCTTAGATGATTAGGAAGGAAATCTACATATTTATCTCTACATTTCTCTTATATTTCTGTGAAAGGGGTTGGGTATCGGGTTCGGGGTGAATTCAGCTGTCAATTTAAAGGCCCAGTGCAATCAATTCTGTTTTTCCTATTATTTTATATATGTGATGTGTTATTTCCTGATAGTTGCTGGTTGAAAATACATTCTAGACAGGACCTTCTAATCAGCAGGTTTACATGGGTGGGAGTTTTGACTTTCCATGGTGACATTGCCATGTGGTAAATTGGTTAATAGACCAATAACAAAGTTCCAAACCTCTCTGCCAATAACAGCTTGATTTCAGTTTCCCCCCTTCCCACTCAGACCACCCCCAGACAGTCTTAGTAAAATTATTGCTTGAGAATTGTTTTTGTTGCTAAAAAGCTACTTTTGCCCATTTGAATGGAAATCTATTACAGTAAGTTAGTTCATTGTTACCCAGAAATTATTTGATATTGATATAAAAACTGCTTCATCTGGCCTTTAAGAAATGTAATGAGTTGAAAACCCCCCTTAAAAAAATAGGGCCATTTTTATTCATGAATTCCATTTAAAACCATATCTGATAGTGTATCAAATCATCCTGATACCGTTTTCAGAAAGATACAGGGTATGTCTAGTGTGGTGTTTACACCTTAGATAACTCCAGTCCTCCAGTAGCCCAAACAGCACACATGTTTGTTGTAGCTCAAACACACCTGATTCAACTCATCGAGGGATTGATGATTAGTTGACAAGTATAATCAGGTGTGCTTGTCCAAGGCTAAAATTAAAATGTGTACTGTTGGGGGTACTGCCTTAGATGATTGGATGCCAAAACTACACGTTACGTATATCTCAATTTCTCTGTTTTGTATTAATTCCGTTGTCAATTCAGGAAGTGAAAAAGTCAACATAAAACAATGGACAATTATCAATTCATGAATTGGCAAGTGAACTTGTATCTTTCCATCCGAGCAAACCGTATCTGTAGTGTGGTGTTGTTCACAGCTTGTGAGGCCACAACATGTCTCTGGGTTTAAAAGATATCCCTAAACCAATGGGAGCTGATGCCAAAGGTGATTCGGCCGAACATCCAATTAAAGGCAGTTTTTAGTCATTAACACGACCTGTATTGAAGTAAACTCCACAGAGCCCTGTGATCTTGCCTAACGCCTGATAGGGGTATGTTGAATTAGATCTGTAAGGAAGACACACATCTAGTAGGGGTGCGTCCCAATAATATCGAATTATTTTGAAATGTGTGATCGTTCACTACTTGCCACAAATCTGAAAGCATTGGAATGGTGGACCTGGTGCAGGCATGGGTTAGTGGAAGTTCCCACCATATTTCTTATTATACCAGTCATTTCCTTTCAAATCAGTGTAGGGAAGTGAACAAGTGCACACTTCAGGAGAAAGGCGATATTATTGGGACGTAGCCTAGAAGTCTTCCAATAAGAAGGAACGACAGAGCAACACTCTAGAATGACCCTGCCGCAACTGTGATGTTTTTCACTTCATGGTGTTTGTTTTTTTCTAACCTGATGTATTTCGAGGGGGAAATCATAGGTCTTCATAGGCTGCGTTTACAGCCTAATTCAGATTTTTTTCCACTAATATTGCTCTTTTGACCAATCAGATCAGCTCTTTTGCCCATAATTGGGCAAAAAAATCTAAATTGGTCTGCCTGTGTAAACACAGCCATAGGGGCCTATCTGAAAACCAAACCTGAAATTCTGTTCATTTTTTTTCCCATAACGAGTAGGGAGTAAAGACTTGAGAAACAGTCTGTCACAAGTGATTACTCTATAAAATGTATACATTTATATGACTGAATCTCTCATCTCCGTTTCATAGAGAAACTTAATAGCAACAACACAAGTTAGTGAGTTTAGCTGACTAGTGGTGTGGTGTGAGGGTTGCCACGTGATGACGTTCGTGACAAAGTGGCATTTTGTGGCTAAGCCACCTTGCGTTACCGAACCAGGTGGAGAGTCACGGAGGAGAGAATAACATGCAATCACTGCTGCTGGGCATTTGGTTCTTCATACCAACCCTTTCGACTCATAATAACACTAGCTGAACATTTCTTGGAAGTCTTCCTATCTTAACAGAAAACATCTCCACTCTCACTCCAACAACTCCACTTCACAACCATATTATCATATTTTTTCACATTATTTTATTTTGCTGTTTCTTTTTTGTGTGCCTCCTTTATCTCACCTGACCAATAACTTTTAGCTTCCCATATTGTCTCTTCCTCTCTTTCTCTTCCCGCCCCCTCCTTAGTAACCCCCACCTCGTCCCATCCATGGTGTTCGAGTGGCAGAAGGCTGGGGGTGGGGGTGGGGGGGGGGGGGGGCTGTATGGATAAGGAGTGGTATTAAGCAGGTTTGGTGAGGTAAAGTGGGGTTTATCTCCACAGCTTTGGGGAGCTGCAGCTTATTTGGGTCAGGGAGCTTTACGACAAGAGCAATTAGGACTGGCCTCTCTGTGTGGAGCTAGCAGGAGGCCTACCACTGGATTAGCAAGGAGAGGAGTAGTAGAGAAGGCAGAGGAGAGGTGTGTGTTTCACACTGTGTGCCTGTGTGTGTGGACAGCTTCTGTACTAAAGGGGAGACCAGACCAGCTGGAGACCCCGGCCTAGTGGTGTTTTTGAGGTGGGGGGTTTGCGGGTCACTGCGGGGTGAAAATTGGAGTGAGGAGGCAGTGACCCCAAAACTAGGACTGGAGAGACGTAGGTTGCGTCCCAAATGGCACCCTATTCTCTTTATAGTGCACTGCTTTTGACCAGAGCCCTATGGGCCCCGGTCGAAAGTAGTGCACTATATAGGGAATAGGGTGCCATTTGGGACGTACACATAGAAATTAAAGTAGAGCTGAATGACCTGTTGTCTATGGCCACAGCATGTTAAACAGACAGTCATTGAAAAGGTTCACCATTAGGACCTTATTGCATGCTGCTAATGACAGCTTCCTCTGTTGATTGACCATTAGAGAGCACTTGACTGGAAATCAATCAATCAATGCCTTTCATTTTTGATTGCCCCTTAGGGGATAAGTAAAGTTATGTGGAATTGAAACACGACTGGCTCTGTATGCTGAGTTTACTTGAATAACATTACTCTGTAGCAAATGATGCAGTACAAGTTAAATAAATACTGTCTGGTTATATCAAGGTGCATTTTGAGTCATTGTGTGTCACTGAAACAACATTGAGGTAAGTTATATAAAATGTCACCAACTAGAAAAGGGAACTCAAATATGCCCTACACTCTCCGAGTAGAAGTTGTTGAGTGTTACATGTCAGATGGGTCCGCCTGAATTTCACTATGTGGTCACTCTCAAGCTGTTAGGTCATGACCGATCAACGACATTTTACAACTTCACTAAAACTTCTTATAAAACAAAGTAGCCTATGACTACATGGAAATGTTTTTTTAAAAATGCATAAATAAGTAATATCCTAACTATAAACCCAAATAGGACTACATTTCAGTAAAATGTGAGAAGTGCTTGTGTCTCAGGGTG